TCAATTTAGCCTTTTCTTTTTTTTTTCATCTTCTTTATTCAAAAATAAAGAGAGAGAGAGGGAGAGAGAAAGAGAGAGGGACAGAGAGAGTGAATTTATAATTATTGTGTTGCTTGAATGTGAAACATAAAAGGGCGGAGGTTGCGCTTCATGCTTCAACTCACAACAATCAATCTTTTTTCGCTTTTTTTTTTTAATGGAATAAAAGTATTTTGGAATCTTAAAATCATAAAATCCGTTCATGCATGTCAATAAACTATAATGGCTTATTTTTTTTTCCCTTCCTAAAAATTTTAATGTTTACTGTTACGAAATATGTTAAATAATATGCATTTGTGACAGTTTTTATGTAAATATCTGATTATTGTTAAAATGATAAATTGGAGAAATTATTTCAAAACAATTTTTTTTTTTGAGTAAATTAATGATATATAAATTATTGGTTCATTTTAGATCTGTACACATTTGCAACAAATTGGTGATAGAATAGGTGAGCAGAAAAAAAAAAAAGTTAAATTACAGTTTAAGAAATTCGCAAATATTGCTATTAGAGATCAAAGTTGAAGAATATAAAAATTTGCATAATTTATAAACCATTGCAAAAAATTCATGATATTTAATGTAGGATAAAAATTTGGAAGGATAAAAGAAAACAGATTGGATTTTTCTTTTTCTTTCTTTTTTTACAAAAAAAAAAAAAAATGAATAAAATTTGAAATGTTTGCCTTACGTATTTAACGTAACACGGTAACGAACTTACTTTATGTTATAGTTTCGCTACTGTAAAAATATCTTGAAATAGTGTAAAATTTCACTTAAAAGACGACATATCAAATAGAATTTCGAACAAATTTCTACCTGTTCTATTTCTGTGTAATGATTTAAATTTTTTATTGATACTTAATTTACTTAATATGCTATCTATCGATTAATTCTTATGAAAATGCAATTTTCATCATCACATAATATGCATAATAAAATATTAAAATATGCTACAAAATTAATTTGCCACTGAAGTTTAATGCAATTAAATGGTAAAAATTCAATTCTCTTAAATGCAATAATTAATATGTTTGATAGTAAGAATTAAGTAATGTGTGATAGGGAAAAGCGATTGAAATAATAATTCTCTGTTTATTCAAATATTACTTAATTTCAACTTTTAGGATTTCAATCTTATTATTTCTCAGTTCTCACACAGTAAATTCAGTTCTCACACTTTATTCTTTTTGTACTTTTCCGATAAATTTTTAGTTTTTTTTTTAAAAAAAAAGTTGGAAATAATTTTAGAATTAGCCATTTTCAATAAATTTCTCCTACGCTTGGTCAACAATGGTTATGTTATTTCAAATGTATTATGCTAGTGGAAATGAAGAGATTAGAGCTGCTTAATTATGAATTTAAAATGGTTCAGAAATAATATATTTAAGATTAAAAGTAATCACAACTTTGTTTAACATTAAATTTATAGTCGCAAACACTAGCCATATTTCTTGAAGCTTTATTTTGAACTAAAATTTGAAGATTAATAAGGTAGTCGTCAGTTCACTTCTTCCCGATCATTGTGGCAAATCTTTCCAAATCTGTCTAAGTATTAGCAAGCTATTTGTAATATGCATGATTAGGTATGATTATTAGCCGAGATAAGGTAGATGAAACGAATATTTTAGAATAAATCATTTAAAAAAATTCAACCGTTCATTAATTTCAGATAGTGAATTTATTTGTGAAAAATATATTTACACTTGGCTTGTACATTTTGCTAAATAAATTTTTACATATATTTCTTGCTTTTTAAAGCAAGAAATATGTATGAAAATTTATTTAGCAAAATTACAAAATTCAAAAGAAAATTTTAAATTTTTAATGGAATTTTTTAAAGCAAAAATTTTGCTATCATTTTTTTTCTCAAAAACTGATAAGAATTGATGAAATTATTAATGATGAAAAAATAGTGACAATGATGAATAATCCAAATAAATGGTGCTATAAAAATTATGACCTGTAGTGAAAACAATTTTAGAAATTTAAATGAACTAAAATAGAAAATCATTTTCTTTTCTCTTTAAAAATTTGAAATTTTTTAGCAAATTTTTAAAAATTTCAAAATACACTTCTTTAAAGTGAAGAAAAAGAAGTTTGTAAAATGATAAAAATAGGAAAATATTGTTATCATTATATATAGAGAATAATGAGGAAAATATTCTCCATAACATTTGAGTAATTCTTTCCTCATCATCATTTGCTCTTTT